ATATAGAAATGAAAATTTTTAATAATAAGGGACATTTGAATTATGTCCTCACAAATAATTTAGGGACCCATCTTTAATTATGGATCTTTCTCTATATAATTAAAAAATAAACAAGACTTTCAAACTTGAATAAACTTTAATTGGAAGTTTTATTTTATTGCACTAGTTATTTTTAATATTCTTAAGTTTTTAAGTTAAAGCTTATTTGTAATAAAGAATATAAGATTTTTTTCTTGAACAAAATTATTATAAATAAAAATTTTATAAAAACAAATATGATTAGAAAAAAAAATTATATAAAAATATATTATTAAATATTATATATTAAATTATTTATAAATTTATATTTAATTTATAATTAAAAAATTTTATATAATTATTATATTGTAAAATAAATAAATTTGAATTAAACTTATAACAATATATAATATTATAAAATATAAAATATATAATATTATTTAAGATTAATTATAAATTTAATATTTAATAGATCTGTGAATCTATAATACAATGATTAGGTCAGATTATATAGTAAGATATCAGTTCAATCCCATATAAAGATGATTGAATATAATTAATATGGCATTGGCACCATAATCAGTTATATATTGTTTCTTATAAGAAGCCATTTCATATGCTGATCCAGCAGATATTGAGATTATGATCTTCTTATTAAGATATAATAACATAATGATCATCTGATTGATGTTATAATAGTCTTAAATGACTAGAACTTGAGTTCACATATTTGGATATACAAACTGGGCTGTATTTTATCTTAACCAACTCTTATTAGCTTCTATAACAATCACTTATTTGGATATATGGATTGGATTATACTTTATTTTATCAAAATCTACTCAATACTTTCCATGGTGATTGAAACCTTAGCTTGGAAAAACTCAAGTAATAAGATAATAAAGGCACTTAAACCAATACCTTAAATCAAGACTTCTCTAATACAAATTATTAAATTAATAGGTTAAATAGTTTAAAACTAGTAATAGAATTTTTATATCCTATAGGTCTTCTTTGATATCTCTGAAATTAATTATTACAAACAGTTATAAAATCTTGGATATCAAAAAAAAGGTGATATATAAGAAATAATCTGTATAAAGTATATAATATACTAGCTTGTATAAGTCCTTAGCTATAATTGTGTGATACAATATTATCAATAAAATAAATATGGTATTTGTACTTAATACCTTAAAAAAAAAATTAATATTTAATAAAATTCAAATCTTGCAAATTTTTTTATCTTACTGTATAAAAAAAATAAAGTTTAAAATAAATTATTAATAAAATTTGAAAATATAAAATCTATTTTTTATATAATTTTTAGTTTATAAAAAAAAGTATATAATAAAATTATTTAAATATAAGTTAATTAAATAAATAATAATATATATATATATTTTTTTTATATAAAGCAATTTTTTTGAAGACTAATGGATCAATGATACAATAAATAGTGCTCCCTGATCTCCAAATATATATCCTTAATTCAATACCTATAGAAAGCAAAATGTATAAAATTATCTTTTATTTGTGAATTTATCAAACCAAATTTAGTTAGGCTATATAAAGATAGGACCTCTGGTTTTTCTGACGATCATAAGCTAAAAACAGATTGAAGTAGAAAAGATTATATAAGGAAAGGCTTCTGGTCTAACTTCGATATAAGTTCACAAATCTTCTAATATGACAAACTCTATAGTACAAAAAACACTCTAGCCTGGAACTATTTCAATTCAGCACTTGTTTAAAAGAAGAGAACCTAATAAAAAGGAAAATTTGAAGTTGCAAGTGGTAACAAAGAATATAGTACCTTTTTTGAGAATACAGATGAAAAGTATTGAATGAGTTATCTGGATATTTTAATCAATTCTAAAAAATATACACTTTAAACAATTATTGTTAGGATCTAGATTAGATTAAATAGTTTAAAACTAGTAGTAGGATTTTTATTTCCTAAAGATCCTATTTGGTATATTGATCCACTTTTTGAATGGATAAATCAATATAACTGGATAAGACTATAAGTGGAAGTGTGGGTTAACTTAAATAGACCTTGTAGTTAAAGATGAGTCCTGAAACTATTTAATATATAAAATTTTGCAGATCAATTATGTTTTTTTGAAAGGGATATAATTATTTATTCTTTACTTTAATAATGACATAATTCAAAAAACATTTAAATTAGATAGCCTAAACTACAAAAAACTTTTATAGGTAGTTGTTTTTAATTTTTATATTAAAAAAAAAACTTTTTTAATAATAAATAACATTTGAATTATATCCTTGCCTTTAATTTAGAAATCCATCTTTATTTGTAATCATGTAATTGAATATAAATAATTCAATAAAAATTATATACTATTAATACTCTTTATCTGAAAAATATATATATATATAAAGCAATTTTTTAAATATGTTACAAAACTGATAAAACTATTATGAATTTATATAATTATTAAAAAAATTTACATGAAATTTTTTTATAAGTACTATAAATAAACAAAATAATAACCCTAATTATAAAATTAAGAATATTATAATAATCTTATAAAAATATTGTTATAATTTTTAATTAGTTATTTTTGTTTTTGAATATTAACATAATCAAAATATTTAAACAATTCTGAAAATTAATTAAAATTTTATTTTGACCTATGAATCTATAGCTTAGTAATTAGAGTGACATAGATCAGTATCACAAGCTATAGGTTTAATTTTACTAAAGAGCTAATGTGAATCTCTGAAAAATATATAGAAATTTGTATATTATTGGCTTAATCATATAATAATTAATATTTCTAATTATAAAAAAACTGGTTTATAAAAGATTGTAATATGATCAAATATCTAAAATTGATTAATATTATCTTTAATATAATTATATTACTAGAAAAGATAATAAGAAAAATGAATTTCAAATAATAAAGTGTTTTTGAAGAATTCCTAACAGTTGTATTAAAGGATACTAATCAAGTATTTGGCTGTGCTGGATTTTATAAACTTTACTATCAAAAGGTCTTGATAAAAAGTAAAATTGCAAACTACTTTAAAGAATCAAAAACCAGAATTCATAATATTATAATTAACAACTTAATAATTAAAATGTTTTTAATAAAATTGTTTTAAAAAAAATTAAAACAAATTTGTATATTTTTTTAAAAACAGAATGACATGATAAACTATTTAGATTTAAGTAATAATTATATATAGTATTAGTTAGATGATATATGGCTAGTTATATATAAATAAATTAACTATAAACATATATGTATAATACTTGTTAGATATATGTGATATTGTCTTAAAAAGTTTAATAAAAACTAGCTAGCAATGTAAACTAGATATAGTATTTGTGTATTGATACCACTATAATATTTTATATACTAAAAGCATATATTTCAATAAAAAACATGACTTATGAAAAAAAACAAAGGAAAAACATACTGCAGTATTATTTAATTAACAAGAAACAAAAAATCATAATTATATGAAAAATGAAAAATAAAGAAGTATAGAAATAGAAGAAAAAAGTATTACTACACAAGACAAGAGAAATCCAGATACAAGACACATAAAACAATACAATATTGGAGAAACAACAAAACAAACCTGAGCCACAGAAACATGATTATATAACATTAAGGGTATATTATACATAAAAGTCAATTCTTTGATAATTATATAGTATTAAAATCATTTAAAAATTACCAGTGTAACTCAGGCATGCTGGCTTGAACCTTTGTAATTAACCTCCCAAAAGAATTAGAGACAAGTTCCAGTGGCAAATTACTATCAAATAGGTAGTTTTCACTATACAGTATATGTAATAGTTTATTTAGATTACAATAATGTAAACAATAAATTAAATAAAATAAAGTGAATTTGACTGAGGAAAAAAAAAATTAAAATTAAAATTTAATTTGATAAGATTTAGTTATAGAATGTTGTGACATGTCATTAAAATTCGCGACTTTTTTAATAAAAATTGAACACAAGGGATTGATATTTTTTTTTTGGCTGGCATTATAAAACATTTTAAATATAGCGATTGAATTTTTTAATAATTAATTGTTATTACAAATATACTTTTTTAAATACATTTTAATGCATACGAGCACAAAGTCTCAAATTTTTGGTAATAATAATTATCTAATTTAACGTTTCATTCACACTAACATTTTTTTTTATAGCTTGCTTAATGACATCACATCCCCACTTCACTACTTCTTTTTCATTCTCATTTTTCAAAATTTCACCTTTTTTCACAAAATGATGAAGAAAAAACAAGATTCCTTGTGATAACGTAGGATTAGGCAAAGCCTTGAGAAATATCTGTGCAAGTGCTTGGGGATTGCGTTTTCTCGCGTTTTGTGTTTGAGTTAAAATAATGACGTTCGAAAAAAGAAGTTGGAAAAATAATCGACTTTGAGGATGCAGTTTAGTAAATGTTGCAGTCTGTATAATTCGTGAAACCACGATTCGTAAGTAATCTCCAGAATTAATCATAATATAATTTATAAAGTTTGCATACCTTTAATATTATTACCGACAATTCGCCACTGGACAACAACATTGCGTAAAGTTTGCTCACATTGACAAGTCGTCTTAATTCCACCTTTTCTGGCTCTTTATTTTTTATCGGAGCAATCTTAACTAATTCCATGCCACCTATGTCATCTTCACCACATTCTCTTAAAAAGTCCCACAGGCAATATTGAAATGTTATCTTAAAGCTATGATCATAATTGCAAAGCCGTTGAGCAATGAGGGCGTAATAAGGATTATGGATCTTTTCCTATTTGGATTTAAAAAAATGAATGAACAACGAAACAAAGATTTTACAAATATATATGGTGAATCAAAATTTTGAATACATTGCCGCAACAGTGAAGTAAGACACGTGGAATTTCCCTTGCTGGAACTTCTTTCAAACCAAGTTTTAGAAGCCTTTCAAACGCGTCAACATAATCCTAATAATATTATTACTTATTATTATCAAACATTATTTTCACCTCAGAACGTAAAAAAAAAAAAGCTCATCATCCCTTTTAATTACCTCACTACTCATCAAAACCACAAAGATACTTCTGCGTACTTCAGTGTTCATTTTTTGTTGCTTTGCCAGATTCAACAAGGCGTCCGAAGCGACTTCATTCTTTTCCGTCTTTGGTGTAGTAGATGTGGATGGATGGTCAATCATATTAGCGGTCCAAGATGCACCGACAATCCACCATTTACCTTCAATAGAAATATTGATTAAACTTTTTATAAATCAATATTTTAGTAAAGTAAAATTAATTATACCTTTTGTCTCTACCGACCGAATGTCATCTAGACTTACTCTTAGCGGTTCAGTGGCTCGAACTTTTGTGTTGCAAAAAAGTAGTAGGAGATTTAGGAATTATTTACTTTTAAGCTTTTATTTATGATAAAATATTTACCGTGAATCCTCTTCCCTAAGTTTGAAAGAAATTTTTTCATCCTTAACAAACTTTCGGTGTTTGCAACAGCTGATTGCTGTTTCATTCTGTTATTTTTAAGGCTCACAATAGTCTCTATCATGAATTTCGTGCGCGATCTATTTCGATAAATACCTAAGTAAAATAAACTAGCTCAACGTTTAAATGGCTTGAATATAAATTACCCTAAACTCCTCGGATCTTTTTTGCTTGTTTCATTATGGACTTGTTGTATTATTTCCTTTAATGCTGATGGATCATCTTGTCTAAGCTGGTACCCGCTGTCTTTCTTGCACAAAAATAGTAAATTAATAATAAATAATAGCGTGGTTATTAAATCTATTAAAGGTAAAACATCTCTTACTTTTAATAATTTTTAACAGTAATTCTACATTCAATTCATTCAGATCCGAGATGAATAAGCGTACCAAATCATAAACCAATATATATGATATGACTTGAAAGTTATACAATTCTGAAATCAGAACTGTCAAATTGGTGCACTCTTTTCCGCCATTTCCCTCAATGATATTATTAATTTCCGCAGATTTGTAATATTGTTGATGAAATCTTTCAAATTCCTCCACCGAAGTTTGAACAAAATGAGCGCCTGTACAGTAGAAAGGATAATTGCATTGTTATCTCAAGAATATAATTTGGTTGGAATTATATAAAAAACCTACAAAAATCTATCCCTATAACCTTGTATAATGCAGCAACAAATGTAGCATATAAAATTACAAGTTGATCCAAAAGCATTGCCCTCGAGGAAATTAAATTCAATATGAGAGTAGTAATAGTGGAAGTGACATCTAAACATTATATTAAGTTGATTAGTGAAAGTTATAAAAAGGTAAATATAGAGTTTAGATAATTACCATGACGACTGTTTTTGTGATAAATTTCTTCTATGCTTATAACTATACTTTCGATGTTGGATTCGCTTAACCTATATCAATCAGTAAATAAACATTAAAATTGGATATATGGTGACATAGATATTATCACATACCTATTTAACAATCCTTGTAGTTGACGCTGTAGTTTAAAAAGTTGTTCTTTCTTTGAGCTATCCAGTTCCCGATCGTTTGCTACTTGAGGTTTTTCACGCAAATGTGGTGGAAGATACCTAACTAAAAGAATTTATTATATTGTATGCTTATCATAAGATACGCTAAGTAATATGTTCGACTTACCTGGCTCGACTTTGTTATCGGCGCGTTCCTCCGAATTCTCGACAACAAAATTGCATTCTTTTTCTTCCTTCGATTCATCAGTCTCATAGTCGGATTCATTATTTCTAACGTTCGTCTCTTCCGAATCGCTTATAGTTCCTTCATCTTTATCGGATTCCTCATCATAATCCTAGATATAACAATCCATTCATCAGAAAATTCTCTATTATCATATAAACAATCGTTATAATACCTCATCTTGGGAAACATCTGTGTCCATTGGTGACTCTAAATTTGAAGTCTTTGTTCCAAATCTCAAGCCTTCCAATAAGTCTAAATGTAAATGAATAAGGAAGTTAAATATTATATGGAATATACAAAAAGGATGGTTTAATATATTCATACCGTCTAATCCATCGTCTTTAAAAGATTTTGATAATTTGCCACTTGATTTGATCCCTAGTTTTTTTTCTAAATGCTTTATTTCCCGTTCATCAGCTTGTATTGATCCAACAATTTTTGTCGAAGAAGAAATATCGCTATGTTTTACGAGGTTGGACTCTTGAAGTAAGGAGAAAAAATTTGGATTTCTCGAGGATAATTTTTCTAATCGTTGAACTTGCTTAACATTCAAGGAATTCTTTTGTTTAGATGAAATTTTTTCCTTATTAATATTGGTCGTGATGGCCGTGCTATCCGTTTTTTGACGTTTCGCCAAAGGTCTTTCTTGTGCATGGAGCTATTAGAAAGTATTAATAATCACTCACAACAACTTTCGTAAAAATATTTAAGACTAACCTTGAAACCAGATGCCTTTTTTCGTTTTTTTGTCAGTCGTTCTTTTTTTCTCTTTTCTTTACGAGTTTGCACTCTGTTCTCAAACTTTTGATTAAACGTTCTCTCATCCACTTCCAAAGGTTCATTTATTTTTTCTTTAAGAGATTCGGGTAACCTAGGCCCATTGTTTGTTTTTGATTTTCGTTTCGATTTTGAAGACATGTCAAGCGTAGCTGCGGATGAAGATTATCAGTAATGGTTTCCCGGCATTTTTAAGCTTAAATATAAAATAAACCAATTGTATTGATATTTTTTTTCTATTATAAATTGTTTGTTATATAGTGCTTTTAATAATATGAAAGAAGATTGCTATAAAATTATCTTTATATAATTAAAAAACAAATAAAACAAATATAACTTTCAAACTTGTTAATTATTTAATTGAAAGTTTTCTTTCAATATAATAAAAATTTTGAAAAATAATATATTTATTGTGTGAACACATGACTTTATAATGATCCCGAAGCGAAAAATTAATTAATTAAAAAAAATAATTAATTAATTACAAAAAAATAATATATAAAAAATAATATAAGATAGAATTTGTATGGAAAAAAAATAGCTGGACCCAATATCATAAATAGCTATTACTATACTTTAGATTCTACTTTATATTATTATATATGTATTTGAAATTAATATTAAATTTTTAAATTAAATTTTCTCAATAACTGAATAATTAAAATTAAAAAAAAAATTTATAGATTAATAACTTAAAATCTAAACTTTTAAATCATTGAATTTTTATTCAATTCATTTGATATTGATAAAAATATTAATCTAAAAAAATTAAAAAAAAATTAATAAGTCTAATACTAATATATTTTTTTATATTAACTAGCTAGGCCTTGCCTAATGTACTTTATTTAATTTACATTTGTATTTCTATTACAAGAATTACTATATATAAATTATTCTAGATGCACATTAAACTATATCAGATTTTTCCCATATCAGCTTGTTGCTATTAACATTGTCTCTAGGGTACTTGTCAAGACTAACGTGCCAAGGCTCTGTTAGTGTTATTATTATATGAGTAAAAAAAATTGAATTGAATAATATTCTTCCCCTGGTTTAGCCAGTTTTCTATGATCTTTCTTTGCATTTTTGTGATTTCTCACATCTTTTATTAATTATATGCTAATATAGCTGCTTATTTTCAAAGCACCGTATGGTTCAGTTACTTTGCACTACTATATTCACCTAGCAATTTCAGTGGTTATACATATATTAATAAGTAATATACATATATGTTTATAGTAGATCTATCTATATATAGGTAGTTATATATATATTCTACGTAATGCTATATATAATCACTACTTTATTTAGAGAAAGTAACAGGAGGACCAATTTTTTTATAACTCCTCCCTGCATACCTCTCTTCTAAACTGGAAAGACATGCGAATCTGTTTTAATTTTTTCCAGAACAATTTTATTTATATTAAAAGTAGTTTGGTTATCAGGCCATCGATTACAGTATCCTGAACCTTGAGTTTCGATTCTTCAGAGTGATTCGTGAATTTCTCCTCCCACCAAGGCCTCCCGATAGTAAAGTCTATAAAAGAAGACACAGCCACGTACTTGATTGAACTTGAAGCCTACCAGTAGTTTTGATTCACCCTCATCAGGTCACGTAAACTTCTCCACCAGCAGTATGCTACCGGTTTGGGATCTACTTTTCTTATTACCATTTGGTAATGTGGTTGTATCAAGGATAATCCTATCTGATTTCGGACATTCAACCTGATCACAATCTTTCGTATAACCAGTATTTATACTAAGAAATATCAGTTAGTTTATGGTTACGTCAATAGATACAGGTTCTACCAGCTATTTTCTTTTTGTCAGGAGAATCACATTAGCCTCCTGAAGGATTTGAATCAGTATCTTGTAATCTGACCTGTGGAGCACTAACCACTATACTATGGACCCACAGATGGTCTAATAATAATATTTTAATAATTAATAATTAAAATTATATGATTTTATTACCATTGGATTTCTTAGATTCTAAGTTTTTCTAATAATATATATTTTATCAGGTTTATTAAATATTAAAAAAGTTATTGTATAAAATATAATTTTTTGAAAAATTTAAAATTAATTTCAAATATATTGTATGTATAAAAAAAAAATTAAAATTTCATTGAATTACAAAAATTAAAAATATTTTTTATTCTAATAAGCAATCTTTATTTATTCTATATTCTATTATTTTAAAATTTTATTTATATTTTTAGAAGTATATATTTTGTTTTTTGTTTTTTTTTAAAGTAAAAAGTATTAATATTGCATATATTTTTATTGATTATTTATATCCAATTATATAAGTACAAAATCTATTTAAGTTAATTCACTTTTTTATCTATAGCCTTATCTAGTTATATTAATTTTATCTATTGTTTGAATAAATCCATATATTAAATAATATCTTTAAAGAATCTAATTTAGATTTTGGTTTAAAGTATATATTTTTAAGATTAATTAAAATATCTAAATAATCTATTTAATATTTTTTACTTAAAATTTTAAAGAAGATACTATAATCATTTTCACTACTTGTAATTTCAAATTTTTCTTATAGAGATTATTTTCTTTTAAGCAAACATTGAATTGAAATAATTTTAGGCTAGAGTATTCTTTATACTATAGAATCTATTGTGTTAGAAAAAATTAATAGTTTTATCGAAATTAGATTAGAAGTATTTTCTTATACAATATTTCTTATTTTAATTTATTTTTAGCCTGTGATTATTAAAAATATTAAAGATTCCATCTTTATATAATCTAATATTTTATTTTCTTATATCTTTTATAATTTTGATTTTAAAAAAAATTTTTTTATAATATATATTATTTTTTTTAATGTTAAAAGTAAGATATTATTCATAATTTTTATTAATATAATTAAATTTAACTTGTTAGATAATCAATAATAAGAAGTTAAAATTTAACTTGTTATATGATCAATAGTAAAATACAAATTATATTACTATAGATATTAGCCTATTATCTATATAAAACAGATATATTATTAAAAAATCTTTAAATAAAAAAAACTTGAAAAATTATCTGTTATAAAAAAATAATAATACAAAAAATAATTTAAACAAGGTTATTATATAATAAGATAAATATTTATAAAGAAATAATTGATAAGATATAATAATGATTATTAGATATGATTCCTGAATATTTGTATTAATTCAGTTAGATATTAATATTATATAAACTATATATAACTTATTGAGTTTGATTGTATGAATTTTTTATAATAATTATTGAATAATTTGATTATATTTGAATATCAGTAAGTCAAATAATTAAAATTTATTTCAGTTGTTTATTGTAATGTTTTGATAATTGTTAAGAAAATATTGAAAACCCATATAGGATATTGATCATATACTCTTCCAATCTAATAGATATTATATTATATTGATATAAATAAGTAATATAAAATTTGATTAATGTTTTATATGTTATAGATATTTTAATAAAGATAAACTGATTGTAGTTTTTTGTATTGAAAGAGATTTTTAATATATATAAGATTAAATAAAAACTATAAAAACTAAACAAAAAATAAAAATTCTAAAAAAATAAAATACTGTTTTTTGAAAGTAGTTATTATATTGTTATATATATTATAAAATAATATTTATATAAAGAAATATGTAGAAATATAGTAGTCGTAGAAAAGATCCAGACTTTTCTTGTGACTAATAAAAAACTCGTAAAATAGACTTTATTTGCATAAAAATTCGCAAAAATGATGACAATCGTCATAAAAAAAAAATACATAAATATCAATAGACAGATTTTTTTTTCCCTCCCTCTCAATCACTTG